CTCCTATCTTTTTTTAAAAAATAGATTAAGTAATATGAATTTATTATATTGCTATTCTTGAATAATTATTTTTCTAGTAGGGAAAATATATTTAGTAGAGTAATAAATATTATTTTATATATAACAAGAAAATTTAAAAAATAATTAAAAAAGTTATAGATATAGGTTTCGAACCTGAATAAACAAAAAAAATAAATAAAAAATGTTTAATCAAAAAATTAAATGTTTGAATAAACATTTTTTACTAATTTGTTTCTTCTATCAGGTTCTAAACCTGTTTCAAACCTTTTTTTTATTTCTTTTATATTTTTTTTATTTTATTAAATAATATTTATTGTTCTATTAAGAAAGTATTTCCTACAGGAGAAATATTTATCCGAGTATAGCTATAATATTTGAAATTTACTTAAAATGATAAGTCATCTTTTTATATAAAATAAATTGTGGGATTATAGCTTTGAGTTTAAAGCATTATTTTAATTCTTTAATAGTCTATCTGATATTAGTTTAATCTCTTGTTAATAACATCATACCATAAAAAAATATCCAAGTAATATGATTGTAGAAAAACAATTTAGTTTTTTTAATCTATATAATCAACAAAATAATCAAATTTTGTATTACTCTCAAATACTACTTCAAATGTTTAAAAATTTATCACCAATAATTTGCTGCCTGCAAGACATCCTCCTTAATTTCCAATAATAAAACTTTCTTTAGTTATTTCATCTCCATTTTAAGTTTATATTTCATCGTCTATTATATTTTAAAGCATTTATATATTAATCACCTTCCAGTTATTATCTACTAGAGCAAAAGTACAAGCATTTCCTGCAACTAAATATTGATCCTAATTAATTGGTTATATTTATGTAATCCTCTAAGTGAAAGAAAGTTTTTAGCTTTCTTCAATTTAAATACATTTCACAGTCTCTTCACAAATTTGTGCTTCCATGTTCTAATAAAAACTTTATGGACATTCTTAATTGCATTATTTAAGGTTTGATTATCCATAAAAAAAGTCTGTTAAAAATGGGCAAACATTATTCATTAAAATGCATTGATTATTAGCTAAATCAAGCTTAAAGTTTTAGTCGCATTAATCACAAATTTAGTTTGTATCACATTTAACACATCCATAGACTTAGCATTTCACACATTCTAAATTTTCATTTAAAAATTCATTTTTTGAACATTTTTGTACACAAGTAGAACTATCATCAGAGCTCTTAAATAGATTATCCTCACAAGTAATACATGCAGATTCACTAGTATTAAAGCAAGTGTTGCATGAATCTGAACACTAAAGGCAAGATTAAGCTATCAAAGAGTAAATTTAATTTGACTTACAAATATTGCAAAAACATATTTTGATTGCGCACAAGAAAATTATGCTAATTATCTTGTAATTCATTCTTTTCAATTTTACAGATGTTTTAAGTTTTACAGATGTTTTAAATTTCACAGATGTTTTAAATTTTCTTGTTAATAATTAATTACATTCAAAAAGTAATTAACTTTATTCAAATTTATAATGCGCTAATCTCAATAGACTTATCTATATAAAAACTCATATTATAAAAAATTAATAATTAAATCATTTGAATAATCAACCTCTGTCTTTTATATTATGTATAGTGGGTGTTTTATTTAATAAATTTAAATAATCAACGTCAATCTTTTATTATGTAATATCAAAGAATTTTAATTTTTTGCAAAATTTGAAAGGGAAACCTCCCTTTTCAAATTAACCTCTTAATTTTTATTTTTTATCAATCAAAAAAAGCCAAGCTCCCTTTTTTATTTTTTGATTAATAGAACAATTCCAGAATATTTTTAATAAATTAAATGTTTTTATTTTTTCATTTAAAATTATTTAAGTATTAAATGGCTGGGCTTGTAAAAAATGGCGGGATTTAAGTATATAACTTTAAACTTTTTAGGAATTTATATATTTTCTAAATTAATAAATACTTTCCTTAAAGTAGAACCAAAATTCTATCCATAAATATACGCTAGATTGTGTTTAAAAGTATTATTATTTTTATTGCCTTATTACAGATCAATTAAAAAATATGGCATAAACTATATTCCTCCTTCAATTTATGCTTAATTTGAAGCTATAACTGAATTTAACTTGATCAAGTTATTATTATAGAGATAAATTGAGCCATCAGAAGAATAATCTTATTTATTTTCTATTAGCTAAGATTAGCTTATTTATAAAACTCCTTGTCTAATAGTGTTAATCATATAAATAGCTCCACCATTTTATAACTTACAAGTATTAAGCCAAAAAATGGAATTTTATATTATTATCTACATGCTATCAAGTCACCTCCTAGACCATTACTATTTGTGTTATTTGTAAAATGACTCTTTAGAAATAGTAACTAAATAGCAATCTTATATCATAAATATAGGAGTATATTAGCTATTTATATTAACTACATTTTTTATTAGTACTTTCTTTAACTTCACATTAAACAGTTAATTTAAAAGGATTAAGGGATTGCTAAGATCAATACATATTTGAGAAACTTCAAAGTTGTTAATTTTAAACAAAAACATTGCATCTAAATTATTATATTATTTGTTGAGTATTAGAGTTAAATTTTTTAAATATTTGATAATCATGCTCTATATAAAATAAATTGTAGAATAAGCGTTTAAAACTATTCAAGTATTCACAATCTTAAGATCATTTATTTACCATAGTTCGAATATACTGTATAAACTTGAGCAATTTGTAATGTTAACATTTGAGATATTTACCATTTGACTTTAACCTATCTTAAAATATTACTTTTGTCTGAATTAGAAAGATAAACATTCTTCATTCTTAATTGAAACGTTAATATTGTTATTTAAACCAATATAAAACCTTCTTGCCTTTCTATATTTTACAAGATTAATTAATTTATGATAACTGATTCATAGTTAGAAATTTAAATTTAGCTAAAACTTGCTAATGTAATGAATATTTATTATAAATAAACCTTTTTAAATTTTTGTAAATTTAGTGATTCATTTAAATTTAAAGAAACATTCAGCATTTATAAAATTTCCATTTTACCATTTAAATTTATTTGCTATAGATAGAGACATTTATTTTAAAAATAAATTAAAAACTTGTTAGGAAAATTGAATATCATTTATCCATTTAATTTAATTTCATATTTAGATAATATCCTTTATTTGCGTGTTTCCATTTCTATTTTAGTATTAAGTAGATTAAATAGATTAAGTTATCTCATTAATTTATCTTTTTGAATAAATATTTTCAGATGTTCTATTCTGTTATTGAATTTATAGGGCATAATTTATTTGTAGATAAGGGTAATATAATCTAAGTTATATAAAGAAATAATGAATTTAAAAATTAATTATGAATAAAATTATAGTATTTATAATTTCTTTATATGTAAATTAATGAATATATATATATATATATAATTAAATAAAATAAGAAAAGAAAAAAAAAACATAAAATTAATTATAAACTAATTTATAAATTATTTTTTTATTTTTATAAAACAAATTAAAATAACAAATATTCATTAAAATTAAAAAGTAAACAAAATAACATATTAAATTAAAATAATATAAAAATTATAAAATAATTAATTTATTTATTTTTTATTTTAATTTTACAAGTAGTTAGTTAGCTTCAGAAAAAATAAGCCATGAATAGCAATAAAGCTAAGTCATCACTTAAATAATTTAAGCAATAAGCACAAATAAATAAATTTTGAAGTTAAGTTTATTATTATTATTATTAAATGTATAAACTGTGAATAGCTTTATAGCAAAGGAAATGATTAACTTTCTAGTTTCTAATTATATTTTGATTGCTTACTCTATAAATAACTAGAATATTCAAGAAATATAATAGTATTTATAGGATAAGCTTGATACCATAAAACATTGCTCTGATAAAAAATTATTTATTTTATAGTTTTTTAAAAAAGAAAAAATGATTTTGTTTGAATATTTATCTAAAATTGCTAGGTGATATTTATGTATCTAACCAACCACGTCAGAATAAGTAAGTTAAATTATATTGTTTGTGTAAAAAAGGTTTTCATAGAAATTTTTTGATTTTTTTCTTAGCTAAACTAAATTTTATCTGTGATTATAAAAATATTGAGTAAAAATAACATATAATTGCATTCTAATTGTAAAATATAGGTTTTAGTTTTCCTTTCTAAAAAAAATAAAGAGAAATAAATTTTGTGTGAAAATCAATGAATTTAAATAAGAAATAAAAATGAATAAACACTTAAAACATTCAATTTATCACTAATAATAAAACTTTCCTTCATTTTTAACGATTTATTATACTCTCTTAGGTAAGGAAAGAACAGAGTTTTTGATGGCTTGATCAACTCTAGAACTATTTTAGAAGATTTTATGTGCACTCATAAACATTTAGTCTTAACTTTAAATTCTACCTTAGAATTAGTTATTTTAATACGCTCAAGACATAGGTGCCGGATTCAAATTTATCGCTATTTTTAATCCCAAATTATTAAATTTTAACTAAAATAACAAATAATACTTTGGATAAAATCACAAAAATATCAAAAAAAAGGCATAGAAATTAATATTTTAATAAATTAATAATAATTAGGAAAATCAGAGATTATAACATATGTCACTGGCACAAAATCAGCATATTTGACTCATTTTATATTTATATATTTTAAATTATTTTTATTTTACATACCTTTAAATATCCATATACATATTTTCATTTATCAGAATTTTATTTTTTAATTTATTAATAAAAGGAAAATAAATTTTTTATTTTGGAATTTTATTCTTTAAACATAAATGTGTTAATATTAGAATAAATATTTAATTAATATAACAAATAAAATATATATTAAATAGTTAATGAAGCTTTAATATTTATAATCAACAATTTATAAAAATAAATATATCAAGACTTTATTTAAATAAAATTAATGGAAATTAAACCAATAAGATTTTAATATTCAACTTTTATCTAGAGAGAGCTGTATTTAAAATTTAGGGCTATTATTTTATTGATTATTTTATGGGGAACATTCAGTTTCTTAAATAATACTATCGATTGCATTACTATTAAATAAGTTTTGCTTATCAAATGTTCTATCTTTTAAGGCTATTTTTAAATTAAAAAAATTATTTTATTTTTTCTTAAGAAAGATAAGAAAATTACATATTTAGTTTTATTTAGAATTTCTTGTGTAGTAGGGCCATTTATTTGCGATTCTTTTATTAGAGTTTTTTTTTTTCATAATTTGTTATTTTTCATCAATCGTTTCAGTTTAAGTTATTAGATGCGATTAGGGTGAAGAAGGTGAATTATCAAGCTCCTAATTATTTTTAAAATCTAATTTCATTTTCTAATTCGATGAGAATAATATTTCATTTTTTTTAAATGATTTTATCATTTATCTTATTTTTTGTCTTACTTTTTTAAACTTGAGCAATGAACTTACCTTTTAACTATTTTATATTTCCACATAAAGCAATTAAGGATATTTTTTTTTAAGTTTAAATATTAAATTTTATAAAAATGTTCTTTCCTTCTCTTGATTTGTAATTTTTAGTCTTAACAATCCTATTACTAAAGTAGCTATAAAAAAAAAGTTAAGAAGCATAGTCATAACTATCCAAAATGTTTAATATAATAAGTCATTTTAATCACCTAAAATCTGTATCATACATAAATTTATTGATACTGTACATATTAGAGTCGATATTTGCTATAAACTATTAAAATATTTGTTTAAATATGGTTTAGATTTAAATAACAAATAAAATTAGATCATCAAACAAAGATTCGTAATAGCAACCTATTATTTTTTTAATGGTAGAATTAATTAATTAGGATTTATGGATGATTTATTTTTAGGAAATTAAATAATAAAATTAATTTCAAAGTAATCTATTTATACAGATATTTCACCCAGAGTATCTCGCGGTTTTTATTAATATTTTGATATAAAACAAATCTAAATATAAAGAAAATAAATACAAAGGATACTCGTGGTGAAATATCTGTATTTTTTTAATATTTTAAATAAATTAAAAATATTATATTACCTTTAATTAGATGTTTTGCTATATTAAAACAGATATTAAAATCAAACTTGTTTTATAAGACAATTTCCAAAACTCCCAGTAATAGTATTGTTTTTTATATCCAGCAAATAAGAAAGAATATTTTATTTATTTAATAATCGACTTTTTTTTGGATTTAGCATCGTGAATTTTATAGAATAGTAATAAAGGTATTACAAAACCCCATATAAAAATAACAGGAATGGTAAATAAAAATATGTACGGCTTATGCTAATGTTTATCATAGCATTCAATTCCAAAATCTAGATCTAAATACTTTTTATCTCCTATAGTTATACAATTAATAGATCTAATAGCAAGAGTAATTATCATAGGGTAAAAGTAAAAATAAATAAAAATAGCAGCAGTTTATAAATACCTGATAAAAAAATCTATTTGTAATCGCTTTAAAATAAATCCTTAAACTATGTAAAAAATAAGTATTCCTGCTGGTAAAGTAAATGACCAAAGAAATTAGAATAACCACAAAGGTTGTAAATTTGGGTGTTTAGAAAAAACACAATCAATAGATTTACTAACCACACTAACTGAATTTCCTGATAGTTAAATAGGAACAGTAAAAAAAGCAGGCATTTTTGTTGCAAATGAGCATACTAATGATAGTATTTATAAATGATCGGTGAGAATTTTCGAAATAATTTATGATCTATCAGATTAATTTACTTTTTATAAAATAAATTTTAAAAAAACTATTTAAATGGAATAATTTCATACATGTTGATCCTAAATAAATAATTTCTAATTTATTTAAATAATATCCTTTAACTTTAACTTCAAGCTGCATTATAATTCTTCTTAGGATTATAATTATGTAAAGAGAAATCATTAAGTATGCTAGTAAATTGTAAAGTACTATTTTATCAATATTTTGCTCGCATTTATAGCATTCTCCTCCATGATTATAAATTTCAGAATATCTACTTCCCCAAATATCACCGTATGTATCACATTAATAGCATAGAGGACCTTTATGTCCTTCAATACAGTAAAACTTTATTTAATTTGATTTTATTATTTTAAATTTAAATAGTTAATTTAAGTAAACTAATTTTCAATTAAAGCATATTTTATTAAAAATAAAAGAAAAAAAAAAGTATATTTTAAATTAAAAATTAGAAAAAGATTCAAATTTACTTTAGAAGAAGAAAGTTAAGGTTAGCATGATTGAGGGTTCATACTGCAGTAGATAATATTGTCAGTATTTTCATCTTCTCTCCAATATCCGCTTTTTAATTAGATATTAGAACCTATGCATCTAACAGCAGATTCAGGGCATATTTTACACTCTTGATCATTTAAACTTAAAGAATATTTACCATCAGGGCATGTTTCACATGCTATTGAGCTACCGTATTATTTAAATATTTATCCTATTGAACACTACTCCAATTCTATATTCAATATTAATTCTATTTAACCATAATTAACCACAATTTTTCCATTTGAATCTATTAGTGAAGGAAATGAATTACTCTAGATTTTTAATACCAATTCAGAAATAGGTTTGTAAAAAATCTGAACATCTAAGTTAAAGCCCCCATTTGTAAATTATTTTGTTTAAAGTTATCCAACGCATTGTATTTCTTTGTTTTCTTAGTTCCATTATACAGAAACGCTTATTTATTGCACTAAAGATTAAACATCACTACTTAATAATGAAAAATCAGTAGAGTTAACATCTATAAATCTAATTGGATTATTTTCTTCGTCAAGCAATTATATTTGTTCCAAATTTATTTAATCTCCACTTTTTAGTTTTTTTATAAATATATCTTTATCTTCATATAACTTTAAACTATATTTAGGAATTTTTATGTTTTCTAAATTAATAAATACTTTCCTTAAAGTAGAACCAAAATTCTATCCATAAATATACCCTAGATTGTCTTTAAAAGTATTATTATTTTTATTACCTTATTAAAGATCAGTTAAAAAATCTGGCATAACCTGAGTATAATATATTCCTCCTCCAATTTATGCTTAATTTGAAGCTATAACTGAATTTTACATGATCATGTTATTATTTTCGAGATAAATTGAGCCACCAGAAGAATAACCTGATTTATTTTCTATTAGCTAAGTTTAGTTTATTTTTAAAACTCCTTGTATAATAGTGTTAATCATATAAATAGCTCCACCACTCTATAACTTACAAATATTAAGCCAAAAAATGGAATTTTATATTATTATCTTCTTATTATTAAGTGCATAAATAACACCTCCAGGGCCATTACTATTTATGTTGTTTATAAAATGACTCTCAGAAATAGTAACTAATTTGCAATCTTATATCATAAATATAGAAGTATGCTAGCTATTTATATAAACTACATCTTTTATTAGTACATTCATTAAATCGATATTAGACAGTTAATTTAAAAGGATTAAGGGATTACTGTTAAAAATAGAAGAATTCATAAATTTTGCTTTAGAAATAAGAGCATATCCTTCGCTGTTTTATTGATTCATAGAAAGGAACTAAATTTAATTGTTATTTTAATTGATATTTTCTATTTATGAGTTATTAAAACTTATTATATTTATTAAACAAATATCAGATTTGGAAAACAAATATTTTGTATTTGTAATATTTAAATTAGTAATATTAATTTAACTAGCTTGAATAGTGAAAATAGTTTATGAGACTTAGAGAAGATCAATATTTATTTGAGAAACTTCAAAGTTATTAGTATTAAATGAAAACGTTGCATCTACACAATCAAATATCTCAATATCCTTTAAAATAGCAGAATCACTTAGATACTAAACGTCATTAATATCTTATTCTTTTATTTAGATTATTTTATTTTTTGTTGTGTACTTGAGTTAAATATTTTAAATATTTGATATAGTCGTGCTCTATATAAAATAAATTGTGGAAAAATAAGTTTAAACTATTGAAGTATTCATAATTTTAAGATCATTTATTTACCATAGCGCAAAGACATTGTATAAATATTAGCAATTTGAAATATTAATATTTGAAATATTTACCATTTGACTTTAACCTATCTAAAAAATATTATTAGAATCTGAATTCGAAAGATAAACGTTGTTAATTAAAACATTAGTATTGTTATTTAAAACAAATATAAAACCATCATGCCTTTCTATATTTTACAAGAATAATTAATCTATGATAACCGATTCACAGTTAGAAATTTAAATTTAGCTAAAACTTACTAAGTTAATGAACACTTATTATAAATAAACCTTTTTAAAATTTTATAAATTTAGTGATTCATTTAAATTTAAAGAAACATTCAGCATTTAAAAATTTTCCATAGTACCATTTAAGTTTAAATTTATTTGAGTTGCTATCGATAGAGACATTTATTTTAAAAATAAATTAGAAACTTGTTTGGAAAATTGAATATCATTTATCCATTTGATTTAACTTTCATATTTAGATAATAACCTTAAACTCAATTTGTGTGTTTCATCTCTATTTTAGTCTTGAATATTAATGTCTATTTATTCAATAGATTATCCATCTTGATATTCTATTTCTATTATTGAAAGTATTTATTAAGTAGATTGAATAGATTAAGTTATCTCATTAATAACAGTTTTTGAATAAATATTTTCAGATTTTCTATTCTGTTGTTAAATTTAAACAGAACATACTTTATTTGTTGATAAAGGTAATTTAATTTAAGTTATATTTTAGTAATTAGATACCAATATAGATGAATATCTTTGATTATTAGAATCTATAATTAGCTAAAAGTTTTATAAAAATGCGTTTTTTATTTAGTACTCATAAATATTTGAATAGGTGCCATTATATTTCAATTATATTACGGATAATTTATTTTTTTAAATAATAATAAAATGGTTATTATAATTCATATTTATTAAATTATTTGCTTCTGTAATTCCTGTATTTAATGAAGGAAATTATTGTTCAAAGCTTATCCCATTGTACACTGTAATATCATTTGGGCAAATAGAATATACAAAATTTTAATCGAAAGATATAATTGCTTATTTCATGCAAGGATTTTTAATTTAAGTAATAAAATCTAAAGTATAGCTAAATATATTAGTAGTTGCCTCGTTACTAACAATATAAATGAGTTATTTAATAGGATCATTTACAACATTCATTATTTACCAATTATCTATATTTTTTTTGTAAGTGAACTCTATCTTAAGCAAATCTAAAATTAATATTGTATTTGAATTATCCTACTTTTGCAATATAAAAACATCTTTTGTTAAATTTCCCTCTTATGCCCAATCTTATGTGTTAAATCTTTTATTATCTTCAAAAGGAATTTTCCACCAATTATTTTCTTGTGAATTAATTTACTTTACATGTAATTTAAAAGCTAATTTTATTTTACCTTGACTAGGTAAAGAAATATTCTGTATTTAGTTAGATTTAATATTATATATTTATATATAGTTATTAGTTGGAACGATAATATAATTACTGCATATGAATGCATTTGATATATCACCTTATTAAAAATTAGTTAATAATATTTCACCTTAACTAAGTATTTTGGTATTTAAACTATTTAATTAAAAGCTTGACTTGTACAGCAAAAATATTTAATTTGAGCTTGAATCATAAAAGAAGTTATCAGGCGTTCTTTGCAATTAAATTCTAGAGACTAGCTCTAAAGAGTTATATTAAAGGTTTACTTAAATTAGATTTAAATAATTAAATGTAATATATATGAATTGATTTTCTGATATTAATATAGGCTCAGTTAAATATGGATAAATATTCTACTGGGATATTTCGAATAGTAATGAGTCAACAAGCTTTGCTTTATAAAATAGATTGAGTGAGAGATTTGAAATACTATAATAAACTTAATATTCTTCATTTAAATAAACACTCTAAGCATTTTAATACTATAATAAGTTTATTTCTGATTAGTATAGTACTTCTGTAAGATCAAAAGCAATAAAAGCTGTATTTGTTTAAACTATTAACACCTAAATAAGCTAATTTATGTAGATAGCTAAGATATTTGCTTGATTATATTATTGTAATGAAAACATCTCTATAAGTTCCATTTCTGGAAACTTCAA